ATTGTATCAGCTCATTGGAATCTAACTCGGGACCTACAGCTTTCCTCTAAGAAAGTGCAAAATAAGGGGAATCGTCCCTGAGCTTTCCTTGCTGCCATCTCATGCCTCTCTGACACACATGCTAAGCTCTGTGGCCACTAGGGACATGCTAAGTGCCTTGGGCCATCTTGGCAGCACAGGACGCAGCCTGTTGACAGGCGGAGGCTCAGCGAATATCTCTCACTGATGCTGTGGGTGACACAACAAAGGAAACTGGAGGTTCCTCATATAAGAGACTTATTAAATTCCTGAGCCCTCTGGCTATACTGCTCCGCGTGACGGTCTGAAGTTTCACTCATTTTTGTCAAGATGACATGAATTCGTTCTTCTTTATGATTCAATGAGTCCATTGCATATATATGTCACTTATGTCAAATGATGTGCACTGACACATCGAATTCTACATATCTGTAGCGTAGTATGTGATAATTGAATATGTGAATATATTATGTGATAAACCTTTTTAGTATGCTGAACATAAAAGCTTTGGAGACTATAATTTAATAGAAAATTTTCAAAAAAAAAAAAAGAAAGGGAATCCCTGGAGGTCCCTTACAAACATAGTTAGGAGAGGGGAAAAGAGAAGTGACAGACGTGTGCTAGAAAAGGGCTCTCTGAGTCAGACCCCAGGAAAATGAAGGAGGAGAGGAACACCAAGACCTCTGTGTAGGCACCGGGGACAGTTGTCCAGCCACTAGCAGTGGCAGCTGCCCTGCTCATCAGAAAGCCACAGAATACATCACTGTGCTTTATCATTGCAAAATGATGTTTTCCTTTGGAAACAAGAAGGCAGCGAGGGTTACAATTATCTACAGAAAGCACCAGTATGATAGTCAGTCATTTACTTGACCTTGACAAAGACTTAGCATTTACAAATGTTTGTGGTTATTTATTGCCATTTTTATGAACTTACTTGTCCATATCATAGAAGAAAAAAAGACTAAATTTTCAAATATTAAGAAGAAAGCAAAAAAAAGAGAAGAAAGCAAGTTGACTTATTTATCTTGATACAATTTCATATGCCCTAAGAAAGTATAGCTTTTCACTATGTTGACATTGTTATATATGTCATATTGTGTATCGTCAGTTTATAGAAATTATCATGTTATATCATTTAGCTTGATTCATGATTAAAATGCTGTTAGAAGACTTGTCATTGGCTCTGCTTGTGCTTAGTTAACATCACCTTACATACAGTGCTGCTCATATATTAAAGAAAATTACTGAATACCTGATTAAAATTATCTTGTACATTTGGAGTAAACATGTATAATTCATGTTTTCAGCTCTTTCCAGTTTCCCATTTCACTTAGTACAAAATATCTACCTAAGCCCTAGCTGCTTCACCATCAAAGTTGGAAGAAATGTCCCCTATTATTTTATATTGAGATGCTGGTCTTTGTAATCATAAGCCCTACTATGTGGCTATATACCTGCCAGATTGTTCTTTTCATTTTTCAGTTCAGATTTGAGAGGCAAAAATGCCTTCAATGGGAGCTGCCTTACAGAGACAGACTTTACCATATATCACTTTGTACCATAGTTTTGCTAAAAACGGGTGTCTGTCTCTTAACTCCTTCATCACACCCTGCACTTAGGATTATAACTTCATAGGAAACTAGTCCAGCTTTTCCTTTCTCATGAGTATCTTGTCTGTGAGAAGATTTTTATTTACAGGCTCTTCCTCTTCTGGCCTAAACCCTAGAGGCCCATACACAAAAGGCTCCAGCACCACGGTAGAGCTGTTAGGAGATGGGGCTTAGTGGAAGGAAGTCATTGGCGGCAAGCCTTGGGGGGAATACTGGGGCCCTACACCTTGCTTTTACTTTCATCATTAGGCAAGCAGCCTCTTTACCGTGTGCTTCCACCAGGATGGCTTGTGCTGCTACAGGCCCAAAAGAAAGGGGCCTCTGACTGAGGGCTGAACTCAGAAACCCCGAGCCAAAATCATGGGGGAAAAGCTTACGAACAGCCTGATCCACAGATCTTCTGGCTAGGTATCTTGTTGTCATGAAGCCAAGAAAGCTTCCCCAGCTAGAACTTCAAGAGCTGGCCCTTGTGCACAGGTGCAGGAGGAACATTCGCTCAGCTGCCTACCTCCTGACTCAGTCCGAAAACTGCTGAAGCAGCCCCAACTGACTCTGACGCCTTCCCTCGGCTCTGGTCCTTCCCTTGCTACATAACCTGATTTCCTTTAAGCAGGCGCTCCTCAGCTCGCAGCTTAGACTGCTTTGGGAGATTTTCATCAATGAACTAAATCCCTGCATAAGTAGTTGCTCACATTCCCACATCAGAAGAGGACACTTCGGTAGACATTGGGTAGGTGAGATGAGTCTCTACTCTCAGGAGCTCACTTAGGAGGCTAGCCATTGGCAAAAAAAACTTCAGTGATTAGAACCTTGTGCTCATTGTCCTGAACTACTGGTCTAGCAAGAGAGAGGAGACAGAAAGGAGCTTCACAGAGGATGGACAGAGACTGCCAACCCTGTCATAGGCTCACGGAGGCAGTATGTCCCATAAAGTAGACAAGGCCTTACTGTTCAAGGATCTATGTCTTTCTTCATAAAGTCAGGTGTGGGTGTTTTATTATTTAATTAATTATCCATTTATCTTTATCTCTTTAAAATGGCATTAGTTGTGTTTTGGACAGTCCCATTATCTTTCCAGGACAACTCCTATTATGACAATCTTTGTACTGTGGTAAGATTTTTAAAAATCAGGCTCTTAGTAGGACCTCATTCAGGACTTAAATAACAAGGCACTCTGCCCTGATGGAACCAAAGTGTCAGTTACTAAAGCGTGGGGAAGACCTTGGCTTTACACTTGCCGTGAGTTCCTACCATGGTTTCTGCAGGTCTCATTCATGCTGGTCTGAACATTAAAACTACCCTTCTCCCCACACCCTAGGACACTTCTCAAAGACCTTTCCTTTGGGCATTTTGCTATCACTTGTAAAAACTTAATCAGAAGCCTTAAACCCCTGTGTTAGTCAGCTTTCCAGTGTTGTGCCAAAATACCCAAGAAGAAGAAACATAATGAGGGAAAAGGATTTTTTGGCTCGTGGTTTTGGAGCTTTCACTCTGTGGTCTCTGGGCCCCATTGCTTGGGTCTGTGGCCAGGCAGAAGGTCATGGTAGAAGCATGTGGCAGAAGAAACCTGTTCACCTCGTGGTGGCCAAGAAATGAAAGAAAGTGCCAGGGTCACACTGTCTCCTTCTGGAACACACCCCAGTGATCTAACTTCCTCCACATAGGGCCTGCTTCCTCAGTCCCACCACCTGCCAGTAGCACCACAATTTGAGGACCAAGCCTTCAACAGGTGGGAATCCAGACATCTAAGAGCTCAGCTGTGATGACCAGGAAGAGGAGATGCCATCATACTCAGATTGGTCACCTTGAGCCCACTTTTTCTTTATCTGCTCTTGGCTTGTTTAGAGGATGCCCTTGACCCCCAGATGCCAGGAAGACACTGGCAAGTTTTCTCTCTCTCTCTCTCTCTCTGTCTCTCTCTCTCT